TTACCTCAGACATACTCATATTTTTATATATAATTTACTACACTACTATATAAGCTACTACTAAATAAAATAGTAGTAGCTTTGCTATGGTATTATAGTATATTTTGGATTAGATTTAATTTATTACAGAATAATACGAAATATATAAAAACTAAGGAGCGCATCAACCTACCTCAGATATTGGGTTATGAATACAGATAAGTACACATAGGATTTAGTTTCTAAGTTGTACATATTTTATAGCCTTCGTTATGAATAGCATAAACAAGCCAAGCCCCCTAGCACAGTATAATAAAAATTTATAGACTGTGCTCCTAGCCTACAAACGTTTCGTAACGAATCTCTTTCTACAATCGCGCCTTTTATTTATTTGGACTAACCACCTGACTCGTTCAGTGATGTCATTCCCATAGTGTTTAGTTTTCAACTAGCGTTATCTAACATAAAATAAATCAAAATTTTATTTATATTTCGTTAATTATATCTGTACTGTGAATTTGATTTACAATCGATCTCTAAATTGAAGTTTTCTTATAATTACTTACCTTGTCTAGACGTGTTCTTTGGACTTCTGTAAGGAAGTATGTGCTGTTAGTATTCCGTTTATATAGGTACGTTACTATTTTGATAGACGTTTGTGCTTGTCGGTTTGTGCGTGACGGTTGTGTTACCGTGTAGTGGCAGTTGAGAATATCCACTACCCCATATTTTCCCGTGGGTGTCGTAAGAGGCGACAGAAGGACACAGAAAGGAGACGGGTAGCAGCATCTTCTTAATAACAACAATAACATAATAAAAAACTGCGGTTACCAACCCGCTAGCCAAGCGTGACAACTATGGCAAATATCCCCCATGAGCAACGACGCAAACAAACGGTACCCAGTCCCCGACGGCCCCGCTATTCGTGGCTACGGTGGCGACCATGGTAACGGCGGGGCAGGGGGTGCTAAGAATCTCCGGTGGAGGTTCGGTTGCCACCTACGACGACTCGACCTGGCAACGTATAACGCACGCACCCTGAGGATTGACGAGAAGATACTGGAGCTGGAAGAAGAGGTAGACAAGTTGCGCTGGCATATTATTGGATTATCTGAGGTCCGAAGAGAGGGGGAGGACACGGTAATCCTCGAGTCCAGAATCCAGAATCCCGAGACTTTTCAGCTCGAGTTACGTAACCGCTTTCAGTGCCTAAAAGATTGCAATGCAGTGGACGATATGAATGACAAGCTCGTGGAAACTGTCCATGCGGTCGGAGCTAAGTTCTGCAAGACCCGCCGCAGAAGAACACAAAAACTCTACGATCACACTCTTAATCTGTGGCTGTTAGACGGGAGATGAGGCTGCAATCGTAAACAGATTTGACAGCATACAGGCAACTGAACAGACAGATTTCCAAATGCATGCAGCGAGACTTACGCAACTTTAACTAAATATATATTTAATCAGCTCAACACCAGCATCAGTTGTCGAGCGACCCCTTGTGAAACCAAATAGATTTTTATGAAGTAAATTATTTACATTAAAAAAATTTAACATTTGATCAAGGATAATTTTTCTAAGTCTTTGCCAGAGATCTATCTGGGAGAAAGAGCCAACTGTCAAAGCTGAAGACTGAGTGTGGCAGCATCGTTTCCGGGACACCTGAGATTTTGAGTGAGATTGAGAGGTTCTATGAGCAGCTGTACACATCATCGTTGGAGCCACACGCAAGTGTGAGTAACGATCCAAGAGCAAGTCTTACCCGACACTATTCCGATGATATCCCGGATGTCAGTCTGAGCGAGATTAGAATGGCTCTCGAGCACCCTAAAAACGGCAGGGCCCCAGACGAGGATGGAATTACAGCGGAGCTTCTGAAAGCGGGTGGAACACCGGTACTTGAAGTCCTTCAGAAGCTCTTCAATTTCGTCCTCCATGGTGGCACTACTCCGGAGGCGTGGAGCAGAAGTGCGGTGGTCTTGTGCTTTAAGAAACGCGACAACGCTCTCTTGAAGAACTACAGACCGATTTCCCTTCTGAGCCGCGTCTACGTGCTGTTTTCGAGAGTCATTACGAATCGTCTCGCACGCAGACTCGACGACTTCCAGCCTACCGAACAAGCCGGTTTCCGAAAAGGCTTCAATACCATAGACCACATACATACCCTGCAACAGATTGTACAGAATACCGAGGACTACAATCTGCCACTTTGCCTGGCGTATGTGGACTATGAGAAAGCTTTTGATTTCGTCGAAATTTGGGCGGTGCTACAGTCTCTTCAGCGGTGCCAAGTTGACTGTCGGTATATCGAAGTGCTGAAGTGTTTGTACAGTAGGGCTACGATGGCTATCCGAGTACAGAACCAGAGTTCGAAGCCTATCCAACTGCAGACAGGTGTAAGACGGGGTGACGTTATATCCCCGAAACTCTTCGCCGCTGCGTTGGTAGACGTTTTCAAGCTACTGGACTGGAAAGGATACGGTATTAACATCAATGGCGAGTACATCACCCACCTTCGATTTGCTGACGATATAGTCCTTATGGCAGAAACGCTGGAGGACCTTAGCACTATGCTCAATGACCTCAATAGTGTCATCCAACGGATAGGTCTTAAGATGAACATGGACAAAACAAAGATCATGTTTAATGTCCATGTCACACCTATGCCGGTAGTTGTTGGGAGCACTATGCTCGAAGTTGTTGACGAGTACGTTTACCTGGGACAAATAGTCCGACTAGGTAAGTCCAACTTCGACTGAAACCTCAATCGACGGATTCAACTCGGCTGGGCAGCGTTCGAGAAATTACGACACATCTTCTCGTCAGGTATACCTCAATCTCTGAAAACTAAAGTGTACAACCAGTGCGTGTTGCCAGTAATGACTTACAGATCTGAGACGTGGTCCTTCACTGCTGGCCGTATGAGGATGCTCGAGGTCACTCAGCGAGCCATGGAGGGGGCTATGCTCGGAGTTTCTCTGCGTGATAGACTCAAAAATAAGGATATCCGCAGTAAAACCAGATTGACCGACATAGCCCAACGGATTAGTAAGCTGAAGTGGCAACGGGCCGGCTGTCGGTGCCGTTACGTCAGCACCGACTGTGTTTGCGGGGAGTACGAGAAGCGCGGGGGGTTTTCTCACCACCGCGCCTAAAGTCGTCACTCGCCGATAGCTCGCGACCCGATCACCACCAAAATAGTTTTTATTTTGATTATTCAAATAAACAATTTGCTGGTCACCTCGTGAGCCAGGTCCAGATATTTTGTTTGCTTATTTGTTTCGGCTTTCACAAGGTTCTCATCATACGGAACGGTAATGTCGACCAAAAATATCCTTGACTGTGCCCGGTCAATCAACACAATATCAGGCTTATTCGCAAGAATAGTCCTGTCTGTGATGATGGCCCGGTCCCAATAGAGCCTGGCGCGATCATTTTCGAGCACGGCTTCCGGTAAGTACTTGTAATACGGCAATTTCCGATCCACGAGACCGTATTTTAGAGCGAGCTCCTGGTGTAGAATTCTGGCTACTAGGTTGTGCCTGTGCAAGTACTCAGAGTTAGAAAGCGTCGAACAACCGGAGATAACATGCCTAAGTGACTCACCGGGATTGCGACAAGCTCGACACATGTTGACGGTGGCATCCTTTAGGATGTATCTCCGATAGTTGTTGGTCTTAATAACCTGATCCTGTATTGCACAGACAAAACCCTCGGTTTCCCCCGAAGAGATCACCAAAGCGTAGCCAGTGGAGGGAGGCTAATGTATCTACGAAAGGCTCATGTAGAGCCTTGTAGAACCTCCCGTGGAGCTCCTTCTCCTTCCATACGGTCTCCCGGTCGGAAATGCTCTGCACTGTCGGGTCTTGACATTGCTCGTTGGCTAAGGATAGAGGGGTAAGTCCTTTATCACAAGAAATGACGTCCTTATAGAATGGATCATCCGATCTCGCCAGGAAGTAATCACGGAGGCTGCGCACTTCGCGATTATGCATAGTGAGCGCGCTCAAGAAGCCACGATCACCATGCTTCCGCGGCAAGTACAGCCTCATTACCGACGATCTCGGATGATGTATCCTATGGGACGTCATGGTAGTGCGGACTTTTCTATCCAGGGCGTTAAGTTCAGTCTGGGTTCACCTGAGTATGCCAAAGGTATACATGAGGACAGGCATGACCCAACCGTTATATGCGTGTGTCTTATTCACACCGGACAAAAGGCTGTTAAGCACTTTGGTCAAGCGTGCATAAAACACGTCGCAAACTGACTGTTTCATACCAGCCTCATCGATACCGATGTTCTGTGACATACCCAGGTATCGGTATGTTTCAGCCTCGGAAAGGGTCCTTAAGTTGACGGGCATAGACAAGTCTATGCCCTCAGAGTTAGCAACCCTTCCCCTTTCAACATGGAGGACCGCACACTTATCCGTCTCCAGCTCCATTCCAATGGAACTGCTAAATTCACAAGTGATGTTTAGCAGTTCCATAAGATGGGAGCGACTGGAGGCGAATAACTTGAGGTCATCCATATAGAAAAGGTGGGTCACTTTTGTCCCTCCTTTCCGTAGCTGAAATCCCCTCCCGGAGCGCTCCAGTAAGGTACTGAGAGGGTTCAGAGAGAGGCAGAACCAGATTGGACTCAGACAATCGCCCTGGAAGATACCCCTTCTTATCCTTATGTGGTTCTCCGCAGCCATCATCCGCTCGCCCAGATGACAAAGGATCGTACTCCACTGCCCCATACACTGCTCGAGGAAGTCTCTAACTGTACAGTCTATCTTGTACAGCTCGAGGACTCTCTTTAGCCATGTATGGGGCACCGAGTCGAATGCCTTTCTGTAGTCTATCCAGGCGGCGGAGAAGTTCCGACGGTTGCGTTTCACCACCTTTGCCAATGACCGCGTCTATGAGGAGTGATTCCTTGGTTCCACGACCACCGCCCCGACATCCATTTTGAGCGCGTGACATCACCTGATTTAGCTCCAGGTGACAAGTGATTCTCGCGCTCAAAATGGATGTTAGTGTCTTGTATATGGTCGGTATACATGTGATGGGCGGTATTTGCTCGGGTCTGTGGTACCCTGGTCTTTAGGAACCAAATGAGTGATCCCAGTAGTGAAGAGGCTTGGGAGCGACTTCTGGTTGAGAGCCTCTTGAAACTGTCGGGCGAGCACAGAGTGACACACCATGAACCCCTTCAGCCAGTAGTGATGCAGCCCGTCAAGCCCCGGACTTTTCCAGTTCGGGGCCCTACGGACCGCCTCAGCTACGTCATCCGGCGTTATGATGACGGGGTCCATGGGCGTAATATCCGCACACTGACTCGCCACAACTTCCGTCCAAGGGCCCTCGCTGTGGTTAACGGGCTCTGACCACAGGCCGCGCCAGAATGCTACAGTGTCGGCCTGATTCGGTGCTGGACCCGTTCCACTTACCATTGGTCGCTCCAATGATTCATAGAGCCTCTTCTGATCACTCTGGAAGAGACGATTCTGGTTGAACCGTGTCGACCTCTCGGTATATCGCCGAATCCGCTTTCCCCAAGCAGCGATTCTCTGCTTCAGATCATCTACGCGCTCCGTCAGTTTTTGCGTTATATCCGGCTGGGACAAACTGACATTTATCCCAGCAAACGTTTTTTTTAAACAATTATTATTGTTATTGTGGAATATCTATATAGTTTTCTCATCTGGTTGGGATCTATAAATATATAATTATAAATGAAAATGATAAGATAAATATACATAAATATCAATAAAATAAAATAAATACAAAAATACATAAATAAATAAAAGCCCAACCAGATGGAAGCCCTCAGCAGGGGAGACCAAACGGCCGAGGGTTAGGGGGAAAGGGAAAGAAACCGGCGGACGATGCGGGCGGTATCGAGGAGCACCGCCTTTTGCATTTGAGCCCGGAGCGGTCCGTCACGGAGTCCCAGTCGCCTCAGATGACCCGAGAGGCTGACTGGGATTAGCCCATTCGCAGAGACGACTACAGGAATAATTTCGGCCGGCAGACCACCCCACATATCGGTCACCTCGTGAGCCAGGTCCAGATATTTTGTTCGTTTATCTGTTTCGGCTTTCACGAGGTTTTCGTTATACGGAATGGTAATGTCGACCAAAAATATCCTTGACTGTGCCCGATCCATCAGCACAATATCAGGCTTATTCGCAAGAATAGTCCTGTCTGTTATGATGGCCCGGTCCCAATAGAGCCTGGCGCGGTCATTTTCGAGTACGGCTTCCGGCAAGTACTTGTAATACGGCACTTTCCGGCCCACGAGACCGTATTTTAGAACGAGCACCTGGTATAGAATTCTGGCTACTAGGTTGTGCCTGTGCAAGTACTCAGAGTTAGAAAGCGCCGAACAACCGGAGATGACACGCCTAAGTGACTCACCGGGATGGCGACAAGATCGACAGACGTCGACGGTGCCATCCTTTAGGATGTATCTCCGATAGTTGTTGGTCTTAATAACCTGATCCTGTATTGCACAGACAAAACCCTCGGTTTCCCCGAAGAGGTCACCGAAACGTAGCCAGTTGAGGGGAGGCGACTGTATCTACGAAGGGCTCATGTAGAACCCTGTAGTACCTCCCGTGGAGCTCCTTCTCCTTCCACACGGTCTCCCGGTCGGAAATGCTTAGTACTGCCGGGTCCTGCCATTGCTCGTTGGCTAAGGATAGAGGGGTAAGTCCTTTATCACTAGAAATGACGTCATTATAGAATGGATCATCCGATCTCACCAGGAAGTAATTACGGAGGCTGCACACTTCGCGATTATGCATGGTGAGCGCGCTCAGGAAGCCACGCCCATCATGCTTTCGCGGCAAGTACAGCCTCATTACCGACGATCTCGGATGATGCATCCTATGGGACGTCATGGTAGTGCGGACTTTTCTATCCAGGGCGTTAAGTTCGGTCTGAGTCCACCTGAGTATGCCAAAGGTATTGTAATAGTGGAGACGAACTGTCCACTATTAACAGACTCCGAGTGGTTTTCTTCAAGGTGGAGAAATGAAACTACTGTTTATGTTTATGAATGTACTGTCGAATGGGATTCGGAATGGAATATCTTTTGCATCAACCTTGCCTATATTTATATGGCTGGCTCACTATTGATTTGCCAATGGTAACAATTAATATTTTGCCTAGCCAATTATATTGCTTATTTTATGACCAATGAAAACTATTTAAAATATACAATTATCTACGTTTCGTTTCCCGGCGTGAGACTTGTTTGTTGTTCACGAAGCTACGTCGCTGGACCGGGCTATATAAGACATGCAGATCGGTGCGCACGCGTAGTCGGCGGGCGGCGGCGGTGTGGAATACAGCTCCGGAACAGCAAGAGGAAACGAACTGCGGCGTTGAAGAAACGGCTCACCATTGGTCGACGGATACGTGACGATAGCGGCGTGTGAAGTCGGTGTGGCGCTGAATGATATTTGCGGCTGCTTCTTGTTTCTTTATAAGAACGTCAAATTATCTATATACAGTCCGCAGTATCTCAGTAGCCAAGAATAATTAGGAAATAAAATGTTTTTTTATTTATTCTCGCCTTCCGCGTTATGGTAGCAGCGGAGTATATATTATTTATTCCCGTTTCGGTTTGATTAATCTGGCTGCTACATCACTCTCCCCCCAGCGAAAGCGTACCGGAGGCTTGACGACTCGCCCGTATTTCGTAGTTTTTAAAATAGGTTTCAACTGGGTTGATGTAGATGATGAAGTTTCAAGCTTCCTCGCTGGTGGTTTTGATGATGATGATGAATCCTCGTTAATAATATAGGCAGGCTTTAGTCGGTCGATCGATATAATCGTAGATTTCCTTCCGGGTATTTGTAGTTTAAAAGTCTTGCTATTTCTCTCTAATACTTTATACGGTCCATCGTAGGTAGGTTGAAATTGTTTTTTCATTGCGTCGTTTCTTACAAAAACTTGTTTGCATGTTTTCAAATCTTGGTGAATGAATACTGATTTATTATTTCTGTGTGATTGCATTTCGGTGCATTTCAACGATAAGGCTTTGTTAATTGATTCTCGAAGTTTAGTTACGAAATCGTAATCCATTTCTTGTTTGTTTGACGCTGCTGAACTGAAGAAGTCACACGGCAGCCTTATGCTGCAGCCGTAGGTTAGCTGAGCGGCGCTAAGACTAGTGTCTGCACGCGGTGTTGCTCGTAGTCCGAGTAGCACTGTAGGTAGCTCATCAATCCACTTTGTATGTTGAGATAAACGAGTTTTGAGTGCAGTCTTTAATGTACGATGCCATCGTTCGATTATTCCGTTTGACTGAGGATGGTATGCTGTTGTACGCGTCTTCTGTATTCCCATAGTTTGAAGAAGTTTGAGGAATAGGTTGCTTTCGAAATTCCTTCCTTGATCCGTTGTGATGGTTTTAGGTGATCCGAAACGAGTAATCCAATTTTCATAAATTATCTTCGCGACGGAGTCGGCTGAAGTATCATCGGTAGGTATTGCTTCTGGCCATCTTGTTGTTCTGTCGATCATTGTTACGAGATAACGATGTCCTTGCGGTGAAGTAGGTAATGGTCCAACGATGTCAACGTGCAAGTGTTCGAATCTCTCCGTGGGTGGAAATGTAGCTAGACTACTTGATGTATGCCTTTGAACTTTGCATTTTTGGCATTGAATGCATTGCTTCGCCCAGTTGCCAACATCCGCTTGCATTGCAGGCCAAAAGAATTTTTCAGTGATGAGTTTTCTTGTTGTTCTAACACCTGGATGACTAATGTTGTGCAGTGCATTGAAGACTTCGCGACGACATTCTTCTGGTATGTATGGTCGCATGGTTGTCGTTGAGGCTTCACAGTATATAGGTAGATGCGTCATTGGCATTGTAACTTGCTTGATGGACAAGTTACCTTGCTTCGATAGATGTTTTATGTTGTCACTATCTCTGTCTTGTGCTGCGGCGATCTTATGATAGTCGATTGATGTAGGGCACGTTACACTGTCGATTGGTACGCGACTGAGTGCGTCGGCAACTATGTTGTCCTTTCCACTGATGTGACGTATGTCGGTCGTGAATTCACTTATGAAAATAAGTTGTCTTGCTCTTCGTGGTGTTTCCGATAGTGATGGTTTCTTTGGAAGTACATATGTTAATGGCTTGTGGTCGGTAAAAACGATCAGGTTTCGACCCTCGAACGTTTTTCTGAAGTGCTTGATAGCCATGTAAATAGCGAGTAGCTCTCGGTCGAATGTACTGTAGTTACGTTGAGTATCGGAGAACTTCTTCGAAAAATATCCAAGTGGTTGCCATTTCCCATTGCTGTATTGTTGGAGAACTGCTCCTGCTGAGAGATCGGATGCGTTGCTGAAGATAGCAAGGGTTGCTTCGTGTGATGGGTGAGCGAGTAAAGCTGCATTTTGGATCGCAATTTTACAAGCTTCAAATGCCTTCGTGGCTTCATCGTTCCATTCGATTGACGTTTTATCTTTTTTCTTCGTGTTGTGAAGGTAGGCGTGAAGTGGTGCTTGGATTTCAGCGGCTTTAGGTATGTGTTCTCTGTAAAAATTTATCATCCCAAGAAAACGCCTTAGCTCTTCGATAGTTTTAGGTTTTGCATAATCGATGATTGCTCTGACTTTTTCGGCAGGCGGTTTTATTCCTTCCTTGCTGACGGTGAAACCAAGAAATTGAACTTCTTGCTGTCCAAATATGCATTTCGAAGGGTTGATTGTGATTCCGTTGTCTTCTAATCGCTGTAGCACGGTGCGTAGATGGATTTCGTGCGTTTCTTTATCAGGGCTTGCAACAAGGAGATCATCAATAAATGCGAAAACGAAATCCAGTCCATGAAGTACTTCGTGTATGAATCTTTGGAAAGTTTGACCTCCGTTCTTTAATCCTGGGATCATTCTTGGGAATTCGAATAATCCCATTGGGGTAATTATTGCTGTCTTCTCTATGTCTTCATCGCGGACTCTTATTTGTTGGTAAGCTCGGTTGAGATCGATGGTGGAGAATATAGTCTTGTCTGATAGTTGATGAGTGAAATCCCTGACTCGCGGTATTGGGTATCGGTCAGGAGTGGTAATAGAATTCAGTCTTCTGTAATCTCCACAAACTCGTAATTCTCCGTTCTTCTTCGGTACAATGTGAAGTGGTGATGACCAAGGGCTTTTGCTTGGACGGCATATTCCTTGCTCAATCATGTTTTCGAATTCCTTTCGAACTTGCTCGTATAGGTGTGGTGCGATTGGACGTGCACGACAATGAAGTGGTGGTCCATTGGTGTCGATGAAATGCTCAACGTCGTTCTTCGGTGTTAATTTCATTGAAGTTATTCTTGTGATACCAGGGTATTCTTCGAGGATCTTGTGATACGGTTGTTGCACATCTATGCTTCTTATTGTGGGCAGATTGGTTGCTTGTACAAAAGACTGAGATGCAAGATTGGTTTTCCCGTCGATGATTCTTCTATTTTTGATGTCGACGACCAACTGGTGATGTTGAAGAAAATCAGCACCGATGATTGGTTTGCTGACTTTAGCGACGATAAATCTCCATTTGAATGGTCGGCGTAGATTAAAATCAAGTTCCATTGTTTTTCTCCATATGTAGGAATAACCGTATTGTTTGCTGCATAGAGTTGAAAATCTAGTGGCTTCAACTTCTGTCCTTGCTTCGGCGGTAACACTGAGATATTTGCTCCGGTGTCGATAAGGAAAGTAAGCTTGCTTTTTTTATCGGTGACGAAAAGACGGTAGGACTTTGCTGTTACGCTGGATCCCGTCGCATCGAGCGTACTAGTTAGTTTTCCGTGTTCGTATTTTCATTTTTGAATGTACACGGTGCTGTGCATTTTCTTGCCTCGACCCCGAAACGTCGATGATAGTAGCAGTAAGGGGATCTTGATGTTGAGCTTATTCGACTTCTACTTGCAGAGCGGTTGCGACGAAAAGGTGATCTTCGGTGTTGCTGATTGCGCTGGTTGTACTGTTGCTGGTAAAAGGTATGATGCTGGGAAGCTTTGAGCGCGGCGACTTCGAATGATAGCTTCCGAATTTCTTCGAGAAGAAACTGGGTATCATTGGCCTTTGTTGAAGTGCCTTCGATGATCGATATGTGTGAGCTACTGCTGTTTTCGATCATCTTGTCCGCCAGGAGTGCCAGTTCGTCGAGCTTCGTCTGCGTGCTGAATGTTTCGCTGACTGCTATTACCGATCGAATATGTGGTGGTAGGTGGTTTACCCACATTAGCCGTAGTGTTGAATCCGGAACTTTATCTCGCGCCAAAGTACGCATTTTGCGTAGGAGTTGTGTGGGTTTCTGGTCTCCAAGTTCTATTTCTGATAGAAGTTTTTGTAGCTGTCGACTGTCGGATTCTTCATATGCGGAGATCAGACGATCCTTCAGTGAATTATACTGGTCGACTGCTGGTGGGTTGTACAACAGGTCCGCAATTTGTTCGATGTCTTGTTTCTCAAGTTGGGCTATCACCATCTGTGCTAATTGCGCTTGGCTCTTCTTTAAACCATTCGTTGCGGCTTCAAAACTGACGAACCAAAGTCGTGGTTTGTCTCTCCAAAACGGTGGTATTCTTAACGATAGAGATATACCGGCGATTTCTGGTTCCTTTACCGGGTTTGATGTATATGTGTTTGCCTCCTGCTCCATAATGACGGCTTGATTACACTGATTTTATATAAACTGAAGTCTTCCTTCTCGATGTTCGTACGGGTTTCCTTCGCGGTGTTCGTGCAATAGTAGTGGTACGTCGCAGGGTGTTCCTTCTTGGTGTTCGTACCGGATCTTCCCCCTCGGTGTTCGTACGGGGTCACCACTGTAATAGTGGAGACGAACTGTCCACTATTAACAGACTCCGAGTGGTTTTCTTTAAGGTGGAGAAATGAAACTACTGTTTATGTTTATGAATGTACTGTCGAATGGAATTCGGAATGGAATATATTTTGCATCAACCTTGCCTATATTTATATGGCTGGCTCACTATTGATTTGCCAATGGTAACAATTAATATTTTGCCTAGCCAATTATATTGCTTATTTTATGACCAATGAAAACTATTTAAAATATACAATTATCTACGTTTCGTTTCCCGGCGTGAGACTTGTTTGTTGTTCACGAAGCTACGTCGCTGGACCGGGCTATATAAGACATGCAGATCGGTGCGCACGCGTAGTCGGCGGGCGGCGGCGGTGTGGAATACAGCTCCGGAACAGCAAGAGGAAATGAACTGCGGCGTTGAAGAAACGGCTCACCATTGGTCGACGGATACGTGACGATAGCGGCGTGTGAAGTCGGTGTGGCGCTGAATGATATTTGCGGCTGCTTCTTGTTTCTTTATAAGAACGTCAAATTATCTATATACAGTCCGCAGTATCTCAGTAGCCAAGAATAATTAGGAAATAAAATGTTTTTTTATTTATTCTCGCCTTCCGCGTTATGGTAGCAGCGGAGTATATATTATTTATTCCCGTTTCGGTTTGATTAATCTGGCTGCTACAGTATACATGAGGACAGGCATAACCCAGCCGTTATATGCGTGTGCCTTATTCACACCGGACAAAAGGCTGTTAAGCACTTTGGTCAAGCGTGCATAAAACGTGTCGCAAACTGACTGTTTCATACCAGCCTCATCGATACCGATGTTCTGTGACATACCCAGGTATCGGTATGTTTCAGCCTCCGAAAGGGTCCTTAAGTTGACGGGCATAGATTAGTCTATGCCCTCAGAGTTAGCAACCCTACCCCTCTCAACATGGAGGACCGCACACTTATCCGTCTCCAGCTCCATTCCAATAGAATTGCTAAATTCACAAGTGATGTTTAGCAATTCCATAAGATGAGAGCGACTGGTGGCGAATAATTTGAGATCATCCATATAAAAGAGGTGGGTCACTTTTGTCCCTCCTTTCCGAAGCTGAAATCCCCTCCCGGAGCCCTCTAGTAAGGTACTGTGAGGGTTCAAAGAGAGGCAGAACCAGATTGGACTCAGACAGTCGCCCTGAAATATACCCCTTCTCATCCTTATGTGGCTTTCCGCAACCGTCATCCGCTCGCCTAGATGACAGAGGATCGTACTCCACTGCCTCATACACTGCTCGAGGAAGTCTCTAACTGTACAGTCTATCTTGTACAGCTCGAGGATCCTCTTTAGCCATGTATGGGGCACCGAGTCAAATGCCTTTCTGTAGTCTATCCAGGCGGCGGAGAAGTTCCGACGGTTGCGTTTCACCACTTTGCCAATGACCGCGTCAATGAGGAGTGGTTCCTTGGTTCCACGACCGCCGCCCCGACATCCATTTTGAGCGCGCGACATCACCTGATTTGATTCCAGGTGACGAGTGATTCTCGCGCTCAAAATGGATGTTAGTGTCTTGTATATGGTCGCTATACACGTTATGGGGCGGTATTTGCTCGGGTCTGTGGTACCCTGGTCTTTAGGAACCAAATGAGTGATCCCAGTAGTGAAGAGGCTCGGGAGCGACTTCTGGTTGAGAGCCTCTTGGAACTGTCGGGCGAGCACAGTGTGACACACCACAAACCCCTTCAGCCAGTAGTGATGCAGCCCGTCGAGTCCCGGACTTTTCCAGTTCGGGGCCCTACGGACCGCCTCAGCTACGTCATCCGGCGTTATAATGACGGGGTCCATGGGCGTTATACTCGCACACTGACTCGCCACAACTTCCGTCCAAGGGCCCTCGCTGTGGTTTATGGGCTCTGACCACAGGCCGCGCCAGAATGCTACAGTGTCGGCCTGATTCGGTGCTGGACCCGTTCCACTTACCATTGGTCGCTCCAATGATTTATAGAGCCTCTTCTGATCACTCTGGAAGAGACGATTCTGGTTGAACCGTGTCGACCTCTCGGTATATCGCCGAATCCGCTTTCCCCAAGCAGCGATTCTCTGCTTCAGGTCGTCTATGCGCTCCGTCAGTTTTTGCGTTATATCCGGCTGGGACAAACTAACATTTGTCCCAGCAAATGCCGTCCTGACGGTGCGCACAATTCTTGGCCTGTTGTTGCCTGATCTGAAGCATATCAGTCTGCCGATGAGGGCCCTAGCCTTTGCGATACGTTCTTCAATTCTTCTTCTCCAGGCTGGGATAGCGCTACTTTGGCCAGTAGCGCGTCCAGCCGTGGAAAACTTGGCGCCTATAATACGGCACACTGCCAGCGCGGCGCCAAAAAGGATTGAGTCCGTCTCGCAAAGGTCCCGGCTGGTTTCCAAATAGGTCACCAGCATTGGGTTCAGAGCCCTCACGACAGCCCGATTCCGCTTGCTTAGCGCTATGCGGGGGAAGTCGCGGTCGATTTTCGAGAGGCGTACTGCGCGTTTCCACAATCGCCTCTTCCAATGTACTCCTCATATGCTCTAATTCCAGTTCCTGGGCGACTGTTCCATCATCGTTTGAATCAACCACAACTGGGGTATTCACGGCGGCAATCACGTTTGCGGGTTGCTCTGCAATTTGTGGCGCCGCATCCTCAGCCGTAGCATTTTCATCCGACGAGGGAACAGCCTCACGTCGTAGTCGTTCGAGTTCGGCGACATCAAATATATTTGAGCGCAAGATATACCGAACCCGGTCTGCCAGGTTTTGCTCTGAGACGGTTAAAGATGGCTCCAGCTCAGCAAAAAGACGATGCATCCTAGCCCGATACGCCAAACCTCCAGCTTCTCCCCCTTTCGCCCTAAAATACGCCAGCAATGCGTTAGTGTTCATTTCGGTTGTCCAACGCATGCGGCGTACTCCACCAGTGGCGGGTGCCGATCTGGGCCTGCGAAGACCCTGCCGACACCAAGCCAGCTGGTGAGGATGATGGATGCGAGGGGCTGATGGGTGGTCGTGCAGCACCTCTCGCTCGGCTGGCGGTTCGCATGCTGTCGCGTCCAGCGCCAGCTCCAGACGCGCCCTGGCGACCTCCAGGCAGCGGCCCTTTGCGCGTTCTTCCGTATTCCATCATCCATAGTGGTGGGCGTCATTTAGCGGGAGACGCCCAGACCCGGCGCCGTTTTATGGTGGGGCCATGTGCACAAGCGGGCCTTTGCACCTTTAACATTTTTGCCGAGGCACGGCACTAACACCTCTTGGCAAGGTGCTGACTGACTGCGCTGACGTAGTGGTTTTGTCACATAACCATTACGTCAGCGGGCGATGGGGTCGTCACTTCCCTACGCCATTTTATTATTATTATTATTATTGTTTGTGAGTTAACTTGACCAGTATGGAGGCAAAGTATAAATCTCTTAATTTAAAACGCGCTTCAATTAGAGGCCGTGTTACGAAATTTAATAACCATTTAGAAGAATTAAAAGGTAAAAAGCTTTCTCCTACGGAAGTTGTCGTGCTATCACAGCGATTAGTTAAACTTGAGACTTTATTTGGCGAATTCGATAACGTGCAGAATCAAATTGAAGCATTGGAGGAAAATAGTTTAAGCTTAGAATTAGATACCAAAGAAGTCATCGAACAATCTTTCCACAATTCGATCGCATTGGCTCAGGAAATTATTTCCGTAAGCAGTACGACAAAAAAGTCGTCGTTTCAGCACAACAGTATTAACACAGCTGATGAAGATGATCACGAAGTTATCGGCTTTCGTTTACCAGTCGTTAAAATTAATAAATTTGATGGTATGATCAACAAATGGTTGGAATTTCGTGATACGTTCAGTTCTCTGATACATAATAATACAAAAATAAAAAACATACACAAATTTCATTATTTAAATGCCTATCTAGAAGCTGAAGCTGCTCGTGTCATATGTAACTTAGAAGTTTGCGAAAGTAATTATCTCGAGGCATGGAGTCTTCTTTGCGAGCGTTTTAATAATACTCGTCAATTAATAAATAATCACTTGAAATCATTATGTAATATTGAGTCGTTGCGTGAGTCTGACAAGTCATTAAGATTTCTAGTAGACCACGTCACAAAAAACCTACGTGCTTTAAATACTTTAAAACAACCAACTGATCATTGGGACACACTGATCATATTCCTGCTCTCAGCGAAATTAGACAGCAATACGCGTGTTAAATGGGAATAATACATTCAAGCTAGTGTTAATGGTTCCCATATGCCTAGCCTAGATAATTTTATAACGTTTATTAAGGGCCGTGCTGAAGTTTTGGAGTCTGTTTACCGAAATAAACAAGAAAAAAGTATAAAATCAAACCCGAATAATAATCAAGGCGACAAACAAAATCCCGTTTCTCATACTAAGTCTTTCGTTAGCGCTGAGCAGGGCGACTCATTATCAACTGCTTCTCACAAGTGTATTTTCTGTAGCCAAGGTCATCATAATTATGAGTGCTCACAATTTCAGTCGAAATCTATTGATGATAGACTTTCATTAGTATCCGAGCTAAAGTTGTGTCCCAACTGTTTACGTAAAAGCCATAATACACGCGCTTGCAAGCTTCCAGGAACGTGCAGAATATGCAAAAAACGTCACAATACATTTTTACACAAACCTACGGATTTGCTAGCGCTAGTTTCCTTGCCACTAGGTGTCTCAGGCAAGTAGGCGAGAAGTGTGACGATGACGTGATTAAGGCAGTTATACAGGAGGACATGTATATTGATGACTTACTAACTTCTACAGATAATGAAGATCAATTACGGTCGATACAAAAATCAACACATGATACTCTTTCTAGGGCTGGTTTTAATATACGTAAGTACCGATCCTAGCCTAAAAACCGAGCATAAAAAATATAAAAGGAATACATAAGAACAAAATCCTATCCGCGAAAGCGCTAGAACTCATGAAAGAAAGAAGCGAACTACAAAATAGGCCTCAATTAAGCGTAGCTGATAAAGAAAAACTAAAAACTTTGTACAAACTTACCAACAAAGAAATAAAATGGTGCTACGCTACCTACAGAATAACAACCATACAAAGACACCTCAATAATACTAGATCTGCTAAAAAGCTTACAAAGAGCTAAATCAAGCCAAAACATGGGTTCCTTTTCTCAAGTCGGGCAACAAAAATTGCAAATCTCGCACAGAAATACTACTGACTTCTACGCTAATCTATACAGACATTCAGACACACAAAATCAAAACATGGTTTCCTATAGCTACATAGATACCTCTCCGACACACCAGTTTACAGAAAATGAAATATTGCAACATATAATGAGACTTAAGCCAGAAAAAAGCCCAGGACCGGATGGAATCACCAACAAATGTATCAAGGTTGCGAAGACTCTACTACTGACACCAATCACTATCCTATGGAATAAAATACTTGATGAAGAAGCTGCGCCACATCAATGGATGACATCGGAAATTATACTACTATATAAAAAAAGGTGACCCAGCTGATATAGGCAACTTTCGTCCTATAAACCTAATGCCTTGTTTTTATAAACTTTTTGCCTCCTGTCTACTTGAAAGAATAGCCCCAGCCATTGATGCTCACCAACCGATCGAACAAGCCGGTTTCAGAAGCGGTTTCAGCATGATGGATCATATCCAAGTGGTTGACCAGGTGATAGAAAAATATTCAGAATTTAATAAACACCTGTATTTAGCTTTCATAGACTACAAAAAAGGTTTTGATTCAATTTCACACGAGAGCATCTGGGAATCGCTGAAAGCAATAAACACAAATAAAAAGTATATGAATATCTTAAAAAATATTTATTCTAACAGCACAAGTAGAGTCAAACTAGATAGAGTAGGCGAAGAAATCAACATAAAGAGAGGTGTCCGGCAAGGAGACCCAATCTCCCCAAAATTATTCATAGCCGTCTTACAACACGTAATTGGAGAGCTGCCATGGTTCAATCATGATATTAATATAAATGGAAATTTCTTAAGTCATCTCATATTTGCCGATGACATAATTTTATTTTCGGAAACCTCTCACCAAATAAACAAAATGATAAATGAATTAAACCAGGCTAGTATAACAGCTGGTTTAGAAATGAATCTGGAAAAAACTAAAATTATGTCTAACCGCAGTGCAATGCCCATTTTAATAAATAATACACCTCTCGAGTTTGTTAACCAATACATATACTTAGGAAAACAAATCTCCTTTAGTAGTTTTTTACGTGGTAGAGCCATGCTGCAGTTATATTAGTAGTATAGTTGTAGCACGTATGGGTCGGCTCGACCGGGGAGGGACCACGCTCTCACAGAATACCAGCGTGAAATAGTAGCTTAATGCTGCTGTATTTCGTATGGTGAGTGTAGAGAACCGGAGACCCTTTTTACTGGAAACGAGGCATTCCATCTCAGTCCTCACGGGTGACGACGCATCTGCATTTTGATTTTTAATGGAGGATAGATGTAGATGTCTCTGGGCCGCAGCAACCACTTACCATCAGGTGGACTGCGTCCCTCGTTTGTCACCCTATTCTATAAAAAAAAAAATAGTAAGGATAGAAATACCGAGGAACTTAACCGAAGAGTGGTGATTACCTGGAACAAGTTCCGGCACCATAAAGAAATACTAAAATCGCAACTTCCGCTACCGATCAAGAAAATAGTCATGGATACTGGTCTTCTACCGTGCTTAATCTATGGATGGCAAACTTGGACTTTCGATCTCAAAACCAGGAACAAAATTCAGACTACCCAGAGAAGAATGGAAAGAAGTTGCCTAGGTATAAAATTGAAGGATAAGGTAAAGAACGTTGACATTCGAAGGAAGACCAAAGTATGCGATGCCTTAACTTTTGCAATGAAGTCTAAATGGAAATGGGCGGGTCACGTAGCCCGTTATAAGGACGATAGATGGACTCTACGGGCAGTAAAATGGTCTGGGCCAAAAGGCACCAGATCAAGAGGTCGACCAAAGGCCAGATGGGCAGATGAAATTGTAGCGTGCGGGGGTGGTAGTTGGCTAGACAGAGCTATTGAAAAAGAAGGGTGGCATACCTTGGGGGAGGCTTTTATCCGAACGGGGTCCATGCATTAAAAAATTAGGTAGTTGATAATTGAAGCAAATAATAATTAAAAAAAATTAAACTAATTACTATATATAACTAACTAAAATAATAAGTACACAAATGTAATTGAATGTTATAGGGAAACAAGTTAAGAAATGTATCGTTTAATATGTACTATGCATGGAATTAAATAAAGCTTTATTGTTATTATTATTATTAAGTACCGATCCAACTTACCTTCTTTACTGCCTTCAGATGTTGTCCAGTCATCCGGCAACCTGACATTGAGTCAGTCTACAAATACGCTGGGCCTAAATTGGAGTCCTTCATCCGACGGTATTAACTTTCCCATTGCAGTGAATCAGTCTAAGGTTGTCACTAAGCGCTCCATTCTTTCTTCCACTTTCAAGATCTTCGATCCCTTGGGGCTCCTATTATTGTCCAAAATCGTTCCCAAAATTTTAATTCAGACCTTATGGTCTCTCAAATTGGACTAGGATGAGCCCGCTCCAAAGGAAATCGCCGATGTTTGGAGACCTTTTGTTGAAGAACTTAAATGTCTTTACTCACTAAATATACCTAGATGGGTATCAATAGAATATCCAGTCTCTGTTGAAATCCACTGTTTTTGCGATTCATCGCAACGCGCCTATGGAGCGTGTTTGTACCTTCGATCTACAAATAAAGAAGGACAAGTACACGTCCAAATCTTATGTGCGAAATCTCGCGTTGCCCCAGCAT